ATCTATGTATCTATCTGTCTATCTATCTCTCTATCTAGGTCTACCTCTTTAGGTACTGCTGTTGTTTCACTAATTAGAAGGTAAGGTTCATGAAGGGAAAGACTTTTGTCTCTTTCCATATCCCACAGTGCCTGTAACCATGCTGACCACTTTGTAAGAGTTCAATAAGTAACTGGTAAATGAATAACTAAATGAATAAAAACAAATGTGAGTGCATGGAAACTTTGATGTCTGTTTCCAGCCCTTTTAGCAAAATTTAATATGACCTCCAACTGGGGAACCAACGAGAAACCCAAGATAAATCAAAATAAGCAGCATCCACTTTGCCCTAGTTTTTACATTGCTGATCACTTTCTTCTGACTTTTACATTTAATTGGAAGAGTCTTGACTCCCTCTGGTTCCCTAACCCTGAATCCTTTCTTGCATATTTCGCTCAGTAACCCAGACCCTTTAGGACAGAAGTCATTTCACCCTTCTTGGTTGCTCTTCTTAAGGTACCCCAGTATCTCATGAAACCCTTCCCTGCCTGTGATTTTGCTGGGCTCCCTTGTTTAAACAGTGACTATCAGTGCTTACTCTTTGGATCTCCATATCTGCTGAACTACAGCTGTCACAGCTGAGGCTGACTTTATTGATAATACCTGGCTCTTCTCAGTTTTTATTCTTTTTTTAAAAAAATGTTTAAAAGTCTAAATTATCTTACAGTTCTGTACACACACACACACACACACACACACACACACACACACTTTTGGATTCCTGATATGTAAATAAAGACCTTACCTTGGAGAGCTCCTGTCCAGGACCACACTGTTGGCAGGTGGCACAGCGTCCCCACTGGTCCCAATACTCATTTTCTTGACAATTCATGATGAAAAAGCTGTGGGTACAGAACAGAGTAATTATTAACTAAAAGAAAGAGATTATAAAGTAGTGGTTTCCATGACGTTTGGCTTCTGGATCTTTCTAAGTAATCTATGGTTTTTAGTGATAGTGGTCAAGGAAGTCAGCCCCAAATAGCTATCACTTTTAGAGTCCTGACAATATGCCAAGAACTTCCAAATGCTTTCGCTTAATAACACATTTAATTCTAAAAAAAATCATTAATATTTTTATTTAACTTTTTTTGGTCTTTTTAAGACAGGGTCTCCCTGTAGCCCCAGCTGTCCTGGAACTCACAATGCAGACCAGGCTGGCCTTGAACTCACTGAGATCCACCTGTCGCTGCCTCCCAAGTGCTGGGATTAAAGGCGTGCACCACCATGCCAGGCCTATTTAATTTTTTTTTTATGTGTATGAGTGTTTTGTCTACATGTGTGCAAATACACCACAGGCATCCAATTCCTGTGTAGGTCAGAGGAAAGCATTGGATCCCATGGAACTGGAGTTACAGGTGATTGTTAGCAAAAATGTGGGTGCTGGGAACTGAACCTAGGTCCTCTGCAACAAAAGCCAGTGCTCTTAACTGCTGAGCCATCTCTCCAGGCACAAGATTGTTTTTTTTTTTTTTTTGAGAATTTCATACATGAGTATTGTTTTTACAACATTTCTACCCTTTTCTTTTCCACCCTCAACTCTTCCCACCTCCCACACTCCTTCTCAAATTCATGACCTCCTTTTCTTGAATTACTATTGTTTGGTCCCATTTCTGGATGAAGAGCCTCAGGCAAGCAGTGGCTGCTGAGAGAGGGAGAATCCATTTTCTTCAGGGACAGGCTCCTTGAGGAGGTTATCCAATCCCAAGTGGGCAGCCTTAAACATATGAGCAACACTAAGTGGACTCAGCAGGTTGTATATATGTAGCATGGAGCATTATTAATTCTATTTTACAGATGAGGAAACTAAGGCGCAGGGACAAATAAATTTTCAATTTTCAATACTAAGAGGTTTACTAGCAAAGAGATTAAGAAAAAACAATTGAATACTTTTGGGGGATACACAAAGCTGCAACCTGATTTATGACCAGCTCTTAAGCATTTACAAATTGCTTAAACATGTATTATTATTTGCACAATATCTCCCCGTGTTAAGCAATATAGAAACTGTAATATTTATTTTGTGGATGAAAAAACTGTAACAAAATTCTCCTTTGCCAAAGTGTCTGGTTCCCCTGAATGAATCATTCCCTTTCAACTTATAATCTTGGATGAATCATTAATGGTCTCAATTACTTAAACTGAGAAAAATGGACAGTATGTTCCCCCTGTGTACTAGATAACTTTTTGAGAGGATTAAATGGGTTAATCTTCAAATCATGATGAAGTCTTTGAAGAACTATACAAATATTACAGATTTAAGTACAGAGACATAATCCTCCATAAGGCAAGTTTTTATGACAGTGGCTCAAGTAATTGATATATGTTGCTTGTCTCTGAAATAGTATGTTGTGATATTTGCTGTCACTCATAATCTTATACTATACCATTTTCAGGTGATTTCCCAAAGTACTGAATATTCTTAATGTATACTTCAATCGTAAGGGAGGACAGTGTGGCCACCAATCTTCCCCTCAAAAGTCATCAACAGCTATAGGTTACAATGACCTCACCAGTCTTGTTAATGCACAGCTTTCCTCAAAACCAAGTTTGATATTCTTTTTCTTCCTTCCAGTTGAATATGGCCTATGAATTCCATTTTTGGCACAAGATGAATATACATGTATTGTTTTGTCTCAAAGTGTTGGATTCAGTTGCCATGCTCTGTCTTTGCTATCTACCTTTCTCACTGAAGAAAAAATATTAGTGGCAATCCACAGAGATCAAAACTAGGTTTAGTATCTACCATGGACAGGGAGGAAGACACAGTGATTACACAACGGGCAGTGCAAATGGCCTGGAATTAGATAGAACTTTGTGATAATACTAAAAACCAATATGTTGTTTACTTGAGAATGGTAAATTTTATAATATATGAAGCATATTTTAATTTTTGAAAAAGGATATTTTTTTTATTTACCATTATGAAAGATTCCATATTGTTCCAATAGATATTGCCCAAGTTAGCCTCCCCCAAATTAAAGGAAAAATTAAAACATGTAGAAATTCTTCTTCAAATTGATTTGTTCATTCAGCTTTTCTCCCAAACATATTTGGTAAGTGACATGTCCACACATGCACGCATGCACACACATATAATACACACATGCAATTAGTGTTTTATTGAGTTTATGTTTTATTGATATATTAACATTTTATTAAATATGTTGCATACATACAGGAGGATTGAAGAGTGGCAAAGTTATTAGTACTTCTTTATTTTGCCTGTCTCTGCCATGTGAATATTTTCTGGGCCCATTCCCTGTGTTTTGATTGCCAAGAAAATAACCTAAAAGACTATGAAGAGAGAAACAAAGATGTTGATAATAATAATTATCTCCACACAGACTCACTGTTCCCTGAATAATTGATGCTGACCAACTTTTTGCTGGATGTAAGGCAGTCAGGCTGCTGGATATGCAGCTGCCTCTGGTGATAGTTTGTGGCTGCTGGCCTTCTCAACTTGCACACATGCTTGTGGTGTGAAACATGTTCTTTCTATCTAAGATGGGTAAGCAGGACAGAATGAGAAGTCTAAATTAAGAACTCGGGACTTCAGGATATTTGTTTTGCCTGGGCAGTGCAAGAGTCCTAGGATTAAAAAGGGTGATGAAGACAGCAGCTGGTCCATGCCCTGCCCATTCCTCTCCTGTAAGCCCACACACCACTCATATCCAAAAGATTTACAGAAACCAAAGCAGTTGCTCAATTTGGCCTTGAAAATAATTCTGTCCTTGAAAATCAAACTTCTAATCTGTACAGTGCCTTCATCAATTCCAGATGTTTGGCCTATAATCCAGATGTAGCTAAAACCATTTGGTGCTGCGTCTCAGTTTTTCCTTTTCTAGCACAGATCCAGTCTTATCTCAGTTTTCTCTTCTCCATATTATCAGACATCTTATCTTCTTTCTGATTCACTATTTGAGAATTTGTATTTTTTTATTTTAGATCAATGCAGTGAATAGTCCCAGGTACAGCTCTGTCACAAATAGCATATCTGTACTCAATGTTGATTCAATCTGCCCATTTGTATTATGAGGAGGTTGATTAGGTTAAACACTTAGACCAGTGGTTCCCATTCTGGGTTGCATTTTTCAAGTTCCAAAATATGTTTATACTTGAGTATCACCCCTGAGTTTCTGATATATTTAATCCAGGGATGACCTAAGCCTTTGGTACTTGTACAGTTTGCCTGTAGATTCTCATATCCAACTACTGTTAAGAACAAAATGGTTGTAAGGGTTATTTAGGATGTGACTTTTTCTTTTGCTTGAGTATAACACATAGTCAGAAAAGGGATTTCCAGTCCTTCCATTGTCAAGGGAAATCTGATAAAGGAGTAACCTCCATTACCTATGTTTTTTCTAAGAATAGGAGATAAAGGGGTTGAAGGTAGAATGTTTCCTTTAAATCATGTTAGATTATGTCACTCTCAATTCCTTAAAAGGCTCCTTCTTTCACTCACAAGAAAACTAAACACTTTTTAATGGCTGATGAGATCATAGATGATCTGTCCTACCTCAATGTGTTCTATTATGTTTTTAACCTTCATATTCTTCCCCTTAGTCTTTTCATTGCAACCATATTGGCCTCATTGTTTTTCTGCAAATTAAACAGGAATACTTGCACTGGAAAGCCTTCAAACCTGCTCAAGTCGGAAGCTTCTCCTGAAGATACGTGTTTCACTAGTATTTCACTAGTGCTTTTATCTTCCTCAGCTCTTTGTTACTATACCATCCTTTTAATAAGGTTTCTCTGGACACAATCTAAAATTGTGATTTCCCTGGTCTGTCTCTTCTCTTTTTCCCTTGTTTCATTTTTCTCCATAGTACTTATGGCCTTCTTACACACCATGTTTTTCTTATTAACTTATTGCTAATTCTTCCCCCAACTGTGACGGAAGGCCCATAAGAGCTTGGTAACTGTTATGTTCACTACTCCATCCAAGGGACTTAAAACACTACGTGTCACACAGTAGGTGCTAAATATATATATTTGCTATCTGAACAAAGAGTAAAAATCTACAGAATATTAGTAATCTTCTTACAGTTTGTAAATGGTCTTGTGTCAATTAGTTCTAAAGAGGAGGGAGATAGGAATTATGACCGCCAATTTTTATAAAAGTAAAAACAAAGCAACTGAGATTCAGAGACAAAAGTTTCCCTTAAGTTTATTTATTTAGTAAGAAAAGAAGCCCAAAAGTTCATCGTGTTATCCAGCGCAGTACTGTACTGAAATAGTGAGTGTAACCTTCACTAATTATTGGTTGTATTTTGGGTAGGCAAAAGGCATACTCTGAACATTAATTTGATGTTTTCTTTAAATAATGATTTAAAGTGGTGACTGCCAAACCCCAATACATAGGGTCCGGAGATGACTGATAGCAATAAGAATAGAAGGAAAGTGACAGTAAGAGACACAGGCCAAACAAATTGAGGGCAAGAAGGAATAAAAGAGCCACAGAAAATGCTTCTAGTTTCTGGTCCAGAATCCAGGAGAATCCTAAAGTCATTAACAATGTGAAAGAGAAACTGTTTGATTAAAAAGACAATACCATATGAGGAGTTGGACCAAAAGGAGGAACATTTCAGTGGCCATGATCAGCAGGACATTGAAAAGTGTAGAACAAGAACATAGGTTGCAGTTGGAAATGAGTCAAATACATAAAATGGCCATTGTATCAGCTCTTGTACATGTCTGCTTATCAGAGGTAACTGGGGGACATTTTAGGAAATGCCTACACCCAATATTAATTAAACAAAAATAACTGGAGGCTGAGAATCATCATACTAGGCAAAGGTTACATAGGCTTAGATGAAAAAGGAATGCAAAGAACAAAACATTA